CTCAACGCGAAGGAATCGGTGCACAAAGTGCTCCAAGCTCTCGAGGTCTTCTGCACAGCGACATGCGACCTTGGCTGGATTCTCGGCGGGGTGACGATGACGAAAGACTTGATCGAAAAGCATCGCGAATAATTGGACGGCGATCGATCAAGTCGTTATCGTCTCCCGCCGACTCTTCTCGATGAAAGCGGTGGTGTCCACTACCACGTGGAACGCCTTGTGGGTCGACGTCGTCAACAGGGTCTAACCAAATAATTTGTGAAGTAGCGGAGATACTCAAACTCCGAGAACTCGTAGGGGGTTGATGTGCCACTTCGGCAAGATTGCCCAGAAGTCGTGGACGCGAATGATCAAGGGATCGTGACACTTCGCGTCGTCGCGCGACCCGCATTTCTTGGTAGTAGCCCGGGAAGCCGGATAGCCATGAGCTAAGCTCAACCTATAGCCTTGAGCAGCTGTAATCGTAGACTGACTAGTGTGAGAAACCACAAATCTCGCGGGGGCGTGATGGATATATCCATATGTCGCAGGACGACAATACGCAAGAAGACGGGGTTTCGCATTGAGTTTGGCAAACTCAAATCAAATATGGGGGTTCTACGCGCATCTCCACTTCCTTGTGGCTTCACTGTAGTTTGAACAGCGAGGAAAGTTTTCGATGCCACTACCTCTATCTCTCAAAGAGCTCCTTCTCATCTGTAGCGGTTTCGCCACGGCAAGCACCATAGGAATAGCCAGCATTGCGGGTACAGGAGTGCCTCCTTTCTGAGCTCGAAGTCAAGCGCGGTACCGATCCACTGGGATTTCTTGTGGCAAGAAGCGAGCTCGGAGAGCTTCCGCTGATCAAGCTCAGCTTGCATAGTGGATGGGGGCTCGACTACATAGACGCCTCACGATCGATTGATAGCGACTTTCGCTCTAGTAGACGGATCCGCCGAGCGAGAGCCCTTCTCCACACGAGGGTCTAAGACCGAAAGTGGATACGATCGCATAAGAGGCGCCCTGTGGGAAGCCTCCAATTGCTGCTCATGTTCCTTGTCACGGCGATTGGTAATAATGCCACTCTCCCCGGAAGCCAAGAGGTTGAGAAACGGACACGGTGTCCGCAAGGTTTGAGCTGGGCCCACGTCGCGCCGTTGCAGCAACTCATCCTCTTCGTCTTCCCGTGCTGAGAAAAGTTTATTCAAATCGAAGTCGACTTCTTTCAACTCATCGACGAGGAAATTCGCCGCCCGGGGCGGGCGCGGTGTGTTGCGCTCGATTCCGAGGGCTTGAGATGT